CAAGTAGAAATCTGAGTAACACAATAGCCCATCCCCCACAATAAACGCGGACAGGCCAGCTTTAAGATTTGCAGTAGGCGGCTCTCGGTCTGTACAGTGGGGTAGGGTTGACAAGCCAGCGAAAGCAGGTCACATGAAGGTGCGATGAATGTAGCGTGTCATTGCTGTTTTGTGTGGTCTTACACTCATTATCGTATCTTCCCGCAGGTCCCAGCAGCAGCGACCACAACCAACAAGCTACCAGCGCCTCCAGCAGCGGGACGTTGTCGATGGTGGGGCTGAGCGCGTCGGATCTACTACCCCAGACCCTCAGAGCCGGCGAGACACTTGAGTATTACACCCGAGCCTTTGTCTGTGGAGACCCTAGAGGTCAGCGCATTGCAGTCGTCACCAGAGTGGACACCACTCCTGACGTCGATTTTCCGATCTCCGTCGACACGGAAGAGCCCATACCGTTGGATATGATGACGAAGAGGCTGTCGGACGCCTCGGGCGCCCCGGTTCCGCTGTCCGAGTCGCAGTGGCGCAAACTCCGGACCTACCAGCTCGAAGGTGGATCTGTGCCGGCCCCTTCACGCTCTAGCGTACTAAAACGAGCGCTTCAGAGTGTTGTGGGTGATGCAGTAGCAGCCGTTCATCAGGCACTACGAGATATGCGTGAGGATATTGTCCCTGAGAGCCCTCAATCGGACTTCGATAGTCCAAACACACACATTCAGCCTGGGACCGCACTTAGCAGCTCCAAATCTGATGCGATGGAGGCGCTAACGTCTGGAGCAATTGCTAGTCATGACGTGAAGGAGAATACAAGAGAGGAAGAAGGCAGAAGACCGTCTATTTTGGAGATTATCAATTTAGTTTCGTCCGAAGAAGATGACGAGCGTGGGGTTGCTGTATCTACGGAGGATCAGGCTGCTGCGTACGTGAAGGCGATCCCAACCCGGTATGTACGAGCCAAGATTCGCCACCAGCCTAAGAAGAGGCGTGCTGAGTGGCATGTGCCAAGGTCGAGGAAGCGCTGTAATCAGAAGAAGTGTGCGGTTACTAGTAGTGGCATGAACGTCTATCATGCCAGGACGTTGAAGGCGAGTCGTATGAAAGACATTCTGAGTTCACCAGAGGTAAAACGTCGCCTACAGAACCTTCATGATCGACGCAAGTCATTGCCGGAGACTCCGTCCCAGGAGGAGGAATCGACGTCGCTGCAGCACCAAGGATTGGAGTGGCCAGATGACGTTGAGCACCTAACGAGCTGCAAAAGCAATGGCGTTCTCTTTCCAGACATCGGAAAGTTTGATAAGTGCGAGTGCGTCATTGATTGTTTCCTCGACGGTTGTAAGAACGTTTTCAGTGCTACGTTTTGCACTCCTGATTGCTGCAGCCTCGGTGCGATGTGCAGCAATGCTCCACGCACGCTCGATACATTAAAACTTTTCGATACTGGACGAGTTGGTTTAGGCGTCTTCACGACGACCTGGCTGGATATCGGTGACGTTGTTGGCGAGTATTGTGGGGAATTAAGTGAGTTTCCAGCAATTGTCGAGGGGCAGCCGGATCAAGCCACCAAGCAAAACAGCGGCTACACACTGCTGTACAATGCGAAGTCTACGAAACGAAACTACGTTTACGTAGATGCGCTCAAGTGCGGCTCTATCACCCGTTTCATAAGTCATTCCTGTGACCCCAACGCCGCCTTCGTAGAGCAGTCCAACCGTTCCAGCGTCAAGGTGCTTGTAAAGATGATTCGCGACGTCAAAGCTGGTGCAGAAATTACCGTACACTACGGGAATGAGAGGTGGTTTAAGTGTGCGTGTGATGAATGTTGGGAGAAAACCAAAGACGACGATGGAGATGACTAGCTTGCGGTTGTGGTGCATACCCTCAGGTGTATCTCGAAGTACATAATGCTAGCAGGAAGTAAACACAGTTTTAGCATGTAAAAGGAAAGAATACAAATTCTGGAGTCATGCAAACTGTACCGCTTTCGCTTACAGGACACTTACTATGTCTGCTGAAGATGTAAGATGCTGTATAAAGTGTTTAACTGCGTCGGGGCCACACACGACGCTTGAGCAAGCGTCGTGTAAGTCATTCAAAGCTAAGTGCAGGTCCGATTGTGCGCGGACGGCCTACAACCGGCAGGACCGCCACTCCATAACGTCTCCGCTTCTTCCTGTTGACTAAAATGTCGCGCCCACTGCTGTCAACGTGTGTAGTAGCTCGCAGGGCGTACAGGACGTGAATGCACGTACCAAATGCGTAGCAGTAGTCGCATTGACACCACTGTCGCTCGGCATCCACGTGCCAACCACCAAACGGCTGTCCTTCGACCTCTTTGCGGGCGTAATTGACCCCCATCTGCGCGGAAACAGCTATACCTTCCTCCGTCCGTTTATTAGGCGCCACCGTGACACGAGGGGCAGGTAGCGATATGACACGAATGATATTGGGCTCTCCAGCTACTCCTCCACTCACTGAATCCACTTCTTGTCCTTCTGCTATCCCTAGGAGCTGTGCTCGTACCAACTCCGATACCCGACGCGCGAGGGTTGGTGTCGGAACCACGCCAAACTCGAATGCCTTCGTACTGGACGATTGATCTTGGCAACAGGCGCTCAACTCTCGTAGTAAAGTGCCCATTTTTAAGCGGCGACGTAGCGTATAGTCCCGCTTTATCAACGCGTTAAACGTTTCGGCTGGATTATTAGTCGTTGCGAAGCCACTGGGTGTGGCGAATATCTGCCACGTAGTGAAGAGACCAGTCAACCATTGTCCATGCATGTACTGAGCAAATTGGACCAACGCAGGTTCCTTCAGCCACCGCGTCATAATGACACGCAGCATCTCTAAATAGGCGGCTTCACTGCGTGCAAAATGCAGGTCATATACGTCCCGAAGTACGGTGGCTGCCACACCGGAGGAAAAGCTCCGAATACGCTCTTGAACCTTCTTCATTACATGGAAGAAGCACATTAGGAAGCGGTAAGACGGATTGCCTCCAAACACCAACGCAAGGGCGTTGCACTGTGCCTTATCGCCGTCTGCCATCGCGTACTGAATGCGTAGGTCGTTCTTGGTGATCCAGAAGTAGATTCGTCGCAACGAAAAGAATACAGCTTCAAATACAGACTGAGTCTCCTGTGAGACCACAAATAGAGCAACTAGGTGAAATCTGCGCGACCTGTCAGATATCCCCACCACTATAACTGGATAGTCACACTGATTCATCTTATACGTCCCGTCAACGTGTAAGATGAAGTTCTGTGGGGGCACAGTAAGTCGCAGCATTAACGCCTTCGTTGATAGACCCACAATGAAGGGTTTCTCGTCGGACCCATTGCCCACAATCGGTTTGCCACTGCTGTCTAGCTCCCATCCAAACGTGAACGTTTGCGTCATTGTCTCCAAGCCGGTGTACGCACGCGCGTGGACCCAGGCCCTGAGCTCCTGAACTCGGTCGTGATTTTCAAGGTAAGTTCGCGAGTAATTATTCACAAAGTTCTGGACAGTCTTTAAGGGAGGGAGATCCTCAAGAGGCGTCGAGAACTTTCGAGCTAGAGCGTGGCGAATACGCATAGGTCGGAGGTGCTCATCAGCGAGCTCGCGGCAGTAGATCTTCTGCGTAGTAGTGAGCTTCTTGCTCTTTGGAGAGGATACACGGGTGTTGTGAGCTCCATACTCGAAAATAGATACGTGCGCTGTCTCCAGGCACGTAACGATCTTTCCTCGCCACTCGCAGTCTAACTCACTAGCTTCGCAGCAAAGGCCGGAGCTGCATGTAAGTAGGCGGTAACGCATCTTGTGCTCTGCGTCAATACACATGCTGCATGCCATCGTCTGACTCTTCTGGATCTCGAACGCCTTCATCGTCTCCATCACAGCGTCGGCCGCGGCAGCGTCAATGCCGACGGCCCTCTCCTCCCACGGCACACGCTTCGGCATGGCCACACTCGCCGAACAGGAGCTCTGCGAGTGACGTCCAGCAGCTTTAAACCTATGTGGGCCACATTCGCCACATATCTGCACGGCCACCGCTGATAGGCCAGCGAAGACCCAAGCTCACCTTGTCTGCGCGCTTCCTGCAGCGAGCAGAGCCGAAACCACTTATTGTGTTACTACAGCACTCTTCTGTGCTGACACATTCTGACGGTGTTTTAAGTAATTCACGGTGCCATGATGGTACTGTTTTGTGCAATTACAGCGTGCTCCCTATATGGTCCACCCTCGCGAAAACGGGGTGCAGTACTGGATTGAGAGGATTGTGTACTCTCCCCAAACCCTGAGCTTTGTTTATTGAGCCACATACAAACAGCCTTATAAACTTATATGGGACGATGTAAAATATACCCTCGTGAATAAGTCCGGGAAGCAAGGGGTTAATAAAACCGGTATCGCTTTTACCAATTAATTGTAAGAGTCGCCCCATTGGTGTAACTCACATAGACAAGTGTTGCTTGTATTAAATCTAGCAGCTACCGGATACTTATCCGGAGAATAACTATTTCTACGGTTCACTCGGTAGCCACCCGTTTCAAGCTGTCACTCTGCAATCTTCATTTTGTAAGAACAACCTGTCTCCATCTTCCCAGTGACGATACTTGACGTGGGACGCGGTCCTGTATGGATCGCAGTCCTTCAAGTCGTTCCAGCACCGTCTTCCCGGCGGTGTCTACATTGTCGTTGGAGTGCACCTCAGGTGCATGCTGATAGCACCTTATCTTCTCTCCGAGGGAAGATTTTCTGAGCATTATTACAGGCTCGTAGCGCTGTCTCCCCTTCAGGAGTGTGGGCCTCATTCGATCGTTATATGAGTGCTACCCATCGGCTGTTGGTTTTCAACGGTGATTTCGACGGGTCTCCCACTGCAGAGCGCGCGCGGGCCGAGAGTGATCAAATCCAGATTCATAGTACCCTTGCGGCGCAATTCACCGCCCTTGTGTCTCCATACGCTGGAACATGTCCATCCTCTTTGCACCTCTCTTTTATTGTCAGTGTAGAGCTCATAGCAACTGCCTGGGCAGCATCCGCTCTCGTCGTGCGGATTCCTCGGCATCAGTCGCTGCCTGCCAATGACCATTGGCCGTCATGATCGACGACTGATGCGCGTGGATAGCGGCCGAGGGGCTATGTAGCACAGCCAACAGAGTCGACACGAGGTTCACGGCGTGAACTTCACGCGCGACTCAAAGGCGAAAACGTGGCCTTGCCTGTCAAAGTGTAGCACCAGTTCTGTAGGGAGGCTGCCTCGACTGCCCACGAGCGTCTTGACTATCGCTCGTTCGTGGGGGTTGTGCCGCGACTGCGTGAAGAGCGCAGGGTACAGAAACTTAAGTGTGTCCTGCGTGAAGGTTACGTGGAGCTCACCATTGGTAGACCGTCACGGCGCAACGGGGGTCGTCCTCATTAGGGTCTACCCACCGCGCAGTATTGAGTCTGAAGGTCAGCTTCCGGTGGAACGTTGTATACTTTTCCCACTGGTCCATGTAAGCCTGAAGGCCCTGGAAGTCTCGACAGAGAATATCCGGGCGGAAGACGCTGGCCGTGAAGCGGCTCGTGGTGGCGCTACGCTCGCTATCTTCCGAGTCGTAGCCGTGTACGAACTGCAAAAAATACTCTCGTGTGAGGTCCAGCGCCACGGCCGAACTGTTGGCGCGCCAGAGCAGCGTGGCCGAGTCGCGCAGCAGCGTCGAACGCTCCAGCGACGCGATACGAGACTGGAGAAAGCGGATGGAGGCGTCCAAGCCGACGTCGTCGGTCTCCGGTTGGATCTCCACCTCGCAGCGTCTGACTCTCGTACCCTGGCGACGTCTGGACGCGCAGTTGCGAGAAGGTGGCAAGTGCCGACGCGTGTAATCTCTGTAGGCAGCGCTTCTCTCTGACGGCCGCTGAAGACGCCGAAACGTGAGTGGACTCCTATGACTTGCGCAGATTTACGTTGTCTACACCTGAATACTGACAGAGAGTTTCTTCTTCACTTTTAGGAGAACCTTCGAGACAACTGAGGCTGCACACTAAGAGAAATGCGAATAACGATCTCTAAGTCCATTAAAACCAATCGACAAGAGCTCTTGCTTCAACAAACGTATCAAATGACTTGTTGCCAACCCACACAAGGGTCATTACAGTACTTTAGAACATGCTGACCTCAGTCTCATTCAAGATGCCCCCAAGGAGCTAAATCTACGAGGTACCTACCTGAGTTAATTTTCGTCACCAGCATCTCTGTCCGGTTAACTATGACCTCCGTCGATGCATCAACCACGTCAACTCCTTCAGAATCAATGTCTTCTAAGTCCTTCGTCGCTCTCGTTTCTGCACCACCACCATTCACAGTTAATGTCTCAGGGACGATGGAAAGGAGGCGAATCAAGCGTGCTCGATGAATAGAAATGTACCCCAACAGGCATCCGACAGCTATAACACAAGCGCCTCCAGCGAATCCTAGTAAGGACAACGTCTTGGCTGTGAATGGACTCAGGTTTGTCATTGTAGCTGTGGCGGACATCCCTGCCTCTTCCTCGATCCATACCATCGGGAGCCATCCTACAGCTAAATCACTATGCCAGGCATCAAGCACATGGCGATCTCCAATGTGGGCCGTGAGCTGCCACACGAGCCGGCGATGCACTACTACACCCGTCTGAAGATCGACATCAAACACGGACGACGACGCGTTCGAGGACGAGCTACTTTGCAGTGTCAGTGGCAGATCATCGTAGAGGAAACTCATATTGAGACTGGGGGAGGTCAGTGCCGATGAAGACACAATTCCACTCGGGAGTCCCGATGGCAACAACGTCCAGTTCATCACGTAGCGCATCGTTGATGCGCCAAAGCGAGTTGTGATGCTGTCGAATGAGATCTGAGCCACACGACGAGCGTACCCCCAATAAAAGTAGAGCTTCTGAGGTGGAAATTCGACCGACTTGGCCGAGTTTTCACCATGACCCGTAAGTACAGCAGTTGTAAACTGGGACCCATCCGTCACTCGAACCCCGCTGAGCTCCACGCTTTCACCCCATGCGTTCATGAGTGTAGAGCTATCCACCGCTAGTAGACGACCCACGACGCTCTTGCCTTTCCTGTACAGTGCAGCGTTATCTTCCAATGCAGCTACGAGTTCAAACATTGAGGCTCCACGCTCAGTTGCAGTTGAGTTGGCCCACAATGGAGTTTTACCGGAGGATTGGCCTTCTTCGCTTGGTGGCGAAGCGAATAGAATCTGGGATATCATTGAAGCTGCAAAATATCCCCCTGTAGGGTAAGCTAACGATGACGAGAGAGATCCTTTCTTACGGGCAGGCCTGGGAGGCAGCCCGAGGATATTTGGTTCATATCCAAACTTGGTAGCTACATATCGCAGGTAAGACTGAAGATCCCGTACGAAGCTTACAGGCTTGTCGTACATACTTTGTAGTCCAGGAAGCTGTAAGTACACTGCATTGGGTCCAACATCAGCCTCTCCCGTTCTGTCCACACAGATCAATTGTTTCTCTTGAGCACTCCAGTCACTATCGAAGGCTTCGACGACAGTCTCCATCACAGCTACACACCGTTCTATTGTCTCGAACGGTTGAGCTAGGAATGCATCCAATAGTAGCGCACGTCGAGTAGTTTTCGGTAGTGCAGAAGGGGGAGGTACTCCACTTTCCAACGCACTACCAGAGATATTGAGCTTAGGCCAACTCCACAACGTGTTATCATCATAACCGAACGCAGTCCAAAGGTTGCGGGCATCACTCATTAAAAGTGTGTAGTCGGTACCAAACCTGCACTCGATATCGTGATCGTACAAAAACTGACGGTCTTGGCAACTTTCAGTGCAGAACGAGCGTAGCTCAGCGAAGCCAGGGAGGAAGGTGCTCGTTTGCTGTACGACGACGCCATTCTGGGCGTCAAAAACAAATTCCTCAAGTGGGAAGCGTTCGGATCGACTTCCACTGTCATTCAGAAGGAGGCGTCCAGTACTGCCGTCGCGGACAGAGTAATTGGCTCCCGTGACACTACCGTTAACGAATTGAATTGCAGCTAAATCCACGAAGGTCAAAGGAGCAATGGTGTTGTCCGTGTCATCGTTAGCAAGGCGTACACGCTCCAGAATATACTTCTCCAGCACTTTGTGATCCAATAACGCTATCAACCAGGGCACAATCTGCTCCTGAATCATGGATACCGTATAGGCTAGCAGGACATCGTCGCTTACGCCTGATAATGTGCTGGATACAGCAACCATACGCCCCTGGAGGGAGCGCGATAGTACTTTTATTGCCTGAGTCTCGCTCGTCTGGTATTGAGACGACTTTGTAAGAGCTTTTGCAACCTCCACCAACCCGATCCGCTGAAAAGCAGTCGACCAGTAGCGTTGTCCACATTGCAAACCCCTTTCCGGGGTTAGTTAACGCTACAGACTCCGAGACATCAAGTAGAATTCGAGCTGCAGCAACCCACCACTCCGTTGTGCTAGCAAAGACTGGGGCATTTACCTGGCCATCCGGCTTCAATTTGCTTAAGGGAAATGCCTTAGCCATGTCAGTCGCACTTGGAAGTAAATGAGCTATCGACCCTGAGCCTTGGGTGAGCGGTGCGATCCAAAACTCTTCAATAAACAGACGAGCACTCGGGTGACTTGACCAAGACTGGAGCCAGTGTCCAACAATCTGGCACAAGCACGAGACTGTGGAGTCTGCCAACTGCTGGTCCTTGGTCACTTTTGCTGATGGATTAGTGGAACCAATTAGCTCTGCTTCATCGATTTCTCCACGTGCATATGAAAGCCATGATAATACTCCTGTTGGATGGAGAAATGACGACGGATTGGAGACGTCCCACAGCGTATAAAGTAGTGACAAGGAGTTCCCGCACTCTCCGACTGTCTTCTCTGTTTTACCGGCACCCACGTAGGCCACGTTCGCGACGAGATCGTATACAGATACGCTTCTAGCGATTGCAGTATTCCAGGGGAGCACAAACGCTAAGTCATAGCCAAACGCCAGCGGGTCTTCGGATGCTGCTGTACGTGATGCGCTCCACTCGTTTAGCTGATACACCTGGAAAAACAGCGACGAATCAGGCACTTCCCGATACCACTTCGCGATGACCAGGAGATTGTCGACTACCAATCCAAGTGCGTGTTTCAAAAAGGAAAGCGCCAATACTGACAGATCTGCCGTTGCCCGATTGATAGGACTAGTGGGAATTGAAGGTTGTACCAGTGCCACGAATTCATCGAAAGCGGTGGTTTGTAGAACTCCGTAGCCATCCAAGAGATGAGCGCACGGCGTCCTCACATCCCCACCGCTACCAGTCACGTTGATCAGACACCAAAGAATTCGACTCGCAGGGTTCAGTAAGGATCCAGTGGTCGCAACATCCCATAGTTTCCTGAGTGACGCTACTAGCATCGGCCAGAACTGGCGAAGCTGCTGTAAAATAGTCACGACTCATCTCTGACGTGACGGGAAAGGAATAAAGACGTTCCAGGTGAGACCCGAAGTCCAACCGCAGCTCGGAATCGCCTCGGAAAGTGTCACCTGTGGCCCATTGGAAAAGCACAAAATCTCGCAGAGAGTCATCTGTGGCCCAATGGAATAACCAGCGAGCAACGCCTCGAATTTGAGCCTCTGACAGAGAAGTTTCAGCGACCATCGCTGCCAGTAACTGAGCTCGCTCTTGCTCGTTCAGCGTATGCGCCATCGTAGCTGGTTGGATGACTTGCTCGGTAAGCGAATATTGGGCAACCAAGTGCTCGGCCTCATAGTCCATCCCTTCGTACATTTCCTCCCAGGCTCGGAATCCTGTGGGAAGTCCAGCGTCGTCAACAGCAACATCCCTTTTAACTATTGAGTACACGCTCGCAGTGTTCCACAGCTTCTTCGCCTGCGCCAAGGTTGGTAAAGTCAGTGAATTCACCGCTCCCTTGTAAAATCCTTTCCTGTAGAGCTCGAAGCCACGCTGGTCTCCAATTTGATGAACGTCCACGTCTACACTAGCGACATTGGTAGAGATCCACAGAGAACAAACACTTAAAGCCGCAGCATCGCTGTTTTCCCACTGCACGATGTAGTCCTGAACCACTGACAAATCGCTAGGAGTAGAGCTGTCAGCTAGAGTATCCAAGTCACTTTGAACCGTCAGGAGCGCGGTGGACCGATCGATTGCTGGATACCATTTCTTAAAGAACGAGTCGGAAGCGAGGAGACTGAAGTCTGATTGAGCGTCCCATATTACTTGAGCTGCTTCGATAGAGATATCGACGGGTGTGGTTTGGTTAAGCTCAAACACTGCGCGACCTTAGACAGATCCACGTCCGGTGTGGCAAGAACGCTGAGTAAATTACACACTTGGTACTTTTTCCTGCTCTGCCGAGTTCTTACAGTTTGGGTGAAACTAGACGGTGTCAGGGCTACACATTTTGTCCAAACTTCGGTCACATCGACAGTTTTTGTAGGTTGGATAAGTGCTGCCTCTTGGGTGATATTCGCATTAAAGAAGGAAACTGGCCGTGAAGCACTGCGTTGGATCTCATCTAGACCCGGGGAGAGTGTATAAGTGTATGACTCTGTACAGGAAGAGACCGTGGAAGTTTGAGGTGCGGGCTCCGATATGGTGTCAGTTGTCGGTGTAGTTGGACAACGAGCATAGAGCCAATGACCCAGCACATCGCGCTCCAGATGCTCATTCGATTTCCATCGCTGAAGCCACTGGAATACTCGCTCCATCCAGATTTCCCAGGAGGAGCTACAAAGTTTCGCTATCTCTTTCTGCGCAGAGTCCTTACTTGTTCCGTCATTACCTGCTACGGCCACAGCCAATGCTTCCCACAATGCATAACCTTTAGTGGATAGAATAGAAGCAGCATGAGTTGCATCCCACAGGTCAAGGGCTTCACGAGGGACTTCATATTGTGCGCCATTCCCACTGGTGATAGCCGAGCATTCACTCGCACTCAATGAAAACAGAGTTGTCTCGCAGCCAGTCGTGAGTTCAAGTCCACTTTGAAGACCATCGCGATATGGTTCAATGTCCAATTCACCAGCACCACCTCGTCGCCATTGATCGAGCAGACTATTCTTTACCCACTGAGAGCTACTCTGCTCTTTCGCCCAAGCCGCAATTTTAGTCACATGAGCCCTCGTCACCTGTGTGCAGCTCGTATCGATCAACGTCACGTTGAAAACCCCAGAACTTGATCCTCCACCTTTCATACTATCCTCACATGTTCGAGCAATCGCATCGTTCACTGCATCAGCAACCGCTTGTGTTTCAGCCGCAACTACGTTAGTTCCTTCACTGATATGCGTAGCTAAGCGGACCCACTTCTCGTATCCTTGAGTATTGCGGAATGATAGTTCGTTGACAGGATTCCATAGTGAGATTGCGGCAGCGAGACTAATCCGCTCTGCGTCATTCTGAGCCATAGGAGCGAGTTCAAACCCCACCGTTCCATCATCTTGGTCGTCCGCTAAACTCGTCGACACCATATCACAGGAAAATACACGAGCTTGACGTGTATAGATCGTCTGGGTCTTCGTAAAGGTAGGTCCTGTGGTAGTACACGTAACTTCGGTCACTTGATACGTCCTCACATCCGTGAAGAATGGAGACACGTTAGCACTTGTCGCTGCTGTGGATTGTTCTTGCTCGGTCGATGTCTCTTTGCACTCCAGTTCTCCCGTCGTCACAGTAGCAGAACCGACTTGAGTTTCACTGAGCTCCACACGTGGCCAGCAGGTACTTCGTAGCCACCAATAGTACACTGTGAACTTGTATAGCTCGTTGTGAGCCCAGCTCCTGAGCCATCTCCCAATTGCTTGAGCACTAACTCCCGTTACAGCGAGTGTTGTAAGCTGCTGGGAGTCATCGATCAGACGTGCGTAGTTACTCGTCCGAATGGCTCGTACCCACCCAGCGTAGTATTTTGTATCAGAAGAATGGACCGGACGTAAGAAGGAGACGCCTTCCGTGACGTCCCATAGCACGTTTCGAGCATTCTCTGATATTCCAGATCCGAGTTCAGCCACAGCCTCTGGGTTCATTTCGAAACCTAGTTGCAAGCCGTCGGTATTGGGCTCTAAATCGTATCGCAAGCAGCCATTGTGGCGCGTCAAATGCATCACAGTCGTGCAGGTTCCATCGGCCCAATGCCGTAAAGCTCGACGTCGAATGAATCCGTCGTCTAGTAAGGCCTTAATCCACGTCAAAATAGCAGATACCTCGGCACTCGTAATCCCCGTAACACCTGCTAGCAGTCCCGAAGTCGACGCTGTCGTTGAGCCATCCACTATGCCCAACCACTTCGTGAAACCTGCAGGGTCCACAAAAGAAAAATTGGTCGACGACGAGTTCCAAACTTGCTGTGCAACGTCAGCACTCACGGTCGTTCCACCGGAAGACGTCGACAATGGCTGAAGGCTGAAACCTGCTTGAATGCCTACCCGTTCGAGATCCAAATCCACCTCTGGGTCACTCCTATCGCTGCTAATAGTGCGTTTGGCAAAGGCGTTTCGCCAGTATCGCTGTCTGTCACGCTGCACAATCCCACTCTGAGCCCAGACGATGATGTAGTCTCGGATCGCCATCAGTTGCTCTCGTGTGAGGTAATCTGCTGCAAATGCCACATCATTGTTAACGCCTTCGATAACACAGTCGATGGCCGTCTCATTTAGCGCCACAACCTGCTTCCAGATCGCAAAACCTGTTGCTGTTGTTTGAGGGCCATCAAGCCCATCGGTCGCGGTTTGAACGGAGTCGTAGTCTACGAGTAAAAAGCGGAGATTCGACGGACGCGAGCCTAGCAACAGAGTCGCAGCCTCCAAACTCAGTTCTAGTGATGACGTTGCCGGTAATAGCTCAAACCCCGTTCGTTCTTGGTTAGTGGGGCTGTCATCAATCCAAGCGTCCAAGTCTGTCGGTGAACTTCCTTGTTGTCTCCACAGATTAATCACTGCTAGCTTTGCGTTATCAATCGTCGCCTGGTTAGTGGCTACGTCACGCGCCACGATCTCGTTCTTGATGGCACGTAGCACAAATGGTACGACCTCCAGACAGGCACGTTCAAAACTTCTTGTAGCACGTACGGGAACGCGACTCGCTGCATTTTGATGTTCAAAGAGGCAAGTGTTCGAGGCACAAAATTGGTCTGTTGAGTCTCAATCTGCCGTCCGAGAAGAGCTGGTACAGCCTCCACGTGCAATCTATTCAACATGTTGCTCAGCACTCGTGGCACAGCTTGTCGTCGTGCAAGACCAAACTGCTTTGTTAGTAAGCTAGGAAGTGCGACGTCGGTCTGGTCCCGATACACATCGCGTAGCATGACTGGGATCTGCTCGGTGCGTGCCACCGCGTGCATCCGAACGAGAGCGGCGGGTAAGTTGGCATCTCCAACTCGTCGTCGCTGTCGATTGATCACGGCCGCCATTCCCTCACGCTTGACACGTGCCATCATTTCTGGTAACAGAGCATGCAACGCTCGTAATTTGGTAGCAGCTACGAAATCGCTTTGCAAGTGTCTGACGTAGTCTCGGATGTGAGCGTGTGCGAACTCGGCGGCGAGAAATCTCTCGGTACGTCCAGTCTGAGCGTGGAGCTTGGTCAAATGACGGACGTACGAGGCATTGAGAGTCACCACGAGGTCACTCTCAGAGCCAGTCGAGCGTTCAGCGGAGAAATGGTAAGTGGAGGCCACCTGGTAACTCACAGCGCTGTAGCTGTCCGAGTCGTACGCTTCGTCTTCGATCGTATGGAAACTCACATTAAGTTTGCGTGTTCGCTTCTCGTACGTGTACGGCCCAACCTGCGCGAGCTTTGGTTGAATTGTTCCACCTCCAGCTAGTAAATCTTCAGCGTTCGTAAGATTCCAGAGGTAAAAACTCGTGAACTCAGGTGCGTCCATTGCGAAGATGAAAGTTGAATAGTTGAGAAACGCCGCGGACGTCTCTGCAGCTGTAGGCTTGGGCATCCATTTGAACAGAAGTGCGGCCTGAGCTTTCCGCTCCGCTTCCTGTACGTGGAATCCCAGCACAATGAACACGACACCGCAGGCCACCAGCGCCAAGGCGAGTCCGACGCCAAACATCGTCGGGTCGCTGCACCCGCGGCTATTTTTTAAACTCTAGATTACATTTCTGTGGCGACTATTAGTTATGAGGTTTGGCTGCCAGTAGTGTGGCTTGCTCACTGAAGTACAGTCGATTGGCTCGTAGATTGTCCAGAGTGGCTTTGGCAGCTGGAACAAGGTGGGCGATAGTCGCCCACAGAGGCGCCACGAGGTAGTCAATGAAGTTAATCTGAAGACGGCACCGAGTGGCTTCGTCCTGCAAGTTGAGCAGATGTGGTGGGACGTTGAGCCCCAGCTCGGCTGAGCGCTCCGCCTGCTGTGTGAACTCTGTACACACACGATCGACCCACTTAAGCGCCACCCTTAGAGGTCGCCCTACTGATCCAAGATCAGCGCCGTGGATGATCATGTTGAGCATCAACTGTCGACCTTCAGGCACGTTTGAGAACTCGTGGATGTTGCCTACAACTGCCAATTCGGACAGTAACTTGGTGTGGTGCTTCATGTCGGTACCGAGAATGCAGCGGACGATGTGTGTACGCGCGGATGCTCTGGCATTGGCGCTCAAGTCACGGAGGATATCGCAGCCTGGCACTATAAACGCAAGCATGTTAGGTACAGGGAGTAATAGCAACGAAGAAAAAAAAACAGTGAAGAGGGCTTACTCTTGAGTACAGAGAAAGTGGTGGCTGCGTGGTGGTTTTCCAGAACGGAGATGTCATTGTAGCAGAGGGCGAGGGCAGAGCTTGAGTCCACTTCGAATTGATTGTCATTCCCTGGGTGATCGGCATCATGACCAAGAGCTGCAACCAATAGACTCAGAGCCTCGAGTTCCTTGATAACCGAAAGGACTTCGGGGGATCGCATCAGTGTGTACGAAGCTAAAGCCACATCGAAGCCGTGATAAAAGCTGTGATACGGCACGTCGCGGTATTTGCTAGCGAGTTCTCCAATGAACATCCGAAGGGTGATGATCTCAATCCGGAACGTTCCGATCAGTACCAGTCCCTCGAAAAGTTGATACGCATAGTTCTCCAGTTCCGAGATGGATTTGGTTAATGGATCGAAATTGTCGCGCAGTAATTCTTCCACTTGGCCGTATCCATCCTGCCCCAAAGTCATACGATGCCATCTCGTGATCACTGAATGTGTACGACTAGCTCGTACAACAGACGCTGTACGACTGCGAACACGCGGACGAAGGAGCACTCTGCCTGTTTCTTCCTGATCTCCATCACTGTCCTCCTCCTCGTCGTCATCTGTGAGACCTTGTTCTGCTCGGCCGTGGCGTACCTGAGCTTGTTGATGTGACCGTGACTTAGCCAAGCGCTTGATAAAGCGACCAAGCACCCAGCAAGCATAAGCAAAAGTGCTCCACTTGTTCCGAGGGATACACTTGGCCTCATCGAAGCCACTCAGATCCAAAAGCGAGTGTACACTTGCCACTTCATGTTTGGTATCGACTCCAACCTCCCCATTACCAGCACCAGAAGCATCAGCTCTGTCATTTCGTTCAGTACGCGAGCCTTCTTCACGCGCTGTGTCCTGGGCTGAGCGGTTTGCCCAGTAATCTGCCTGCACCTTAGCAAAAATAATAAGCGAAGAGTTCACGTGCAGTGCGTGAGCCACAAGGCGTAAGTAGTGGGCCATGACGTCGTCATCATAGCGTGCGACTGGAGGACTTGCAGAAGGGAATTGACCAAAGTTGACAGCTTGTAGAACGCCCACCGTCTCACCAGCACGGTCCAAGACAGGTTGAGTAAGAAGGCACTCGGTCTTGAAGCCAAACTTTGCGTCGAAAGAGCGATCGAAGCGGGGGTCTTCGTACGGCTTGTGGACAGTCAGAGGCTCCTTGGTCTCAGCTACATGGCCAGCAATACCGCGCCCGTATGGAATTCTCAACCCGTTGACGCTACTAAGAGAGCTAAGGCTCCAGAGCTCTTTCTTGATCGTATCGGAGACGTAGAGCGTCACGTGGGATGTGTGGAAGACAGCACTGCCCATTTCACAGATCAAAGACACGAGGCTGGAAGGATCTCGCACCGATTCCACCAACAAATGAGAGCGACACAGAGCCAACAATTGGCGCTTTTGTCGTGTTGATGCTCGCAGATCATCGGACCGTTGTTTGGCAGTCAGAGCCAGCGCTATCGCTGCTAGAATCGGCTGTACTTGTGTCTCGAATGGTAATTCCGACTCAACTTCGAGCATCGATGCAGCTAGCGACTCGAACGAGTTCGACGCACAAAGACAGAGCACACCGCATGGCTTCGCTCCTCGACTGGTTGGCACGGGCAGGAATATCAGTGATTGTTCCACGTTACTCTCGCGCTGTAAAGCAGAATTCAGAGCAACATCATCACTGAGGTCCACGCATACATGCGTGCGTGCACTGTCTAGTAGTCGCTGTAATAACGCGTTGGTAGACCCCACCACTGCACAGAAAGCTTCCCCTTGCGTCAGTTTTCCGTGACTAGCGAGGACTTCACACTTGTCACTGTGCAGTTCAATAAGGCAGAGTCCCGATACAACTGGAGCAACAGCCATAATCTCTGCAGCCAATTGCCCAACATCAGGTGAGTGCAGCCACTCAGCCTCCGCATCTGAAAGTCTCTCCGAATCCCCTGCTACGAGACTTAATCTTTCACTACTTAGTGCGTCTTCGCTCTCCACAGCGGAATCACCAGGACCGACTGTATCCCGTAACACTTTCTGTGCGACAAATTGTGATCGAGTCTGTCGTACAAGTGCTTTCTGCAATTCGAACGGATACACTGCGTTCTCGACTGCCGTCAGTGTTGCATGCATAAATTCCTTGGAGAATGCCAGCCCCTCTTGAGCACTTCTCGCTTCCATCACAAACCGCGGCCTTCCATGTTCATCTGGCAGTACACCAGCGAGCACACTGGCAGTCGTAAACCCCAGCACGGAGTCCACGTCGCAGGAGACGTCATACGTTCCTAGATCCCGAAGACAAACGACGTACGTCGCTGCCGGTACCGCGGTCAATGCAATCTCGTCGTTGACACCAAATTGTTCGACGAGTCCACGCAACGAGAAAGTCTCGAGTGAAGTCTGAAAACCAACAATACCAGGGCCAGAACTGGAGCAAGCTACAACCTTGAGCACCGGAAGTTTAGCCGTCGATAGCGAATAAAGCACCACGGCCGTTGCATCCAGAGCTGAGGCTGCAGCAACCAATAAACAGGTCAGTGTCTTCTGCAAGGACTGCTCAGACTGTGCAGCATCGCGCATCTTCAAGCCCGCTAGAGTCTTGTAGAACTGCAACTTGCGATCCAATTCCCGAAACGCAGCCATATTCTCCAGTATTGTACTGCCGGCTTCCATCACCGTCGAGTCCCAAGACACTCGACCAGATGATGAACTGACCGTGAGTCTCGTACTGATACGTCCACCCGTGCCATTGCCTCCTGCAGTCGGTGGGCGTAGTGGCTCCAAGTGAATGCGACTATCGTGTAGCTGTGTATTCTTCTTTGAATAGGGTTTACCACTGCGTTGTGGTGGCATGGGCATGAACTTCTTTTCACTCTCGTCCAGCGGTGACGACCCAGGGATCGATGGCAGTAAGGATGAAGGCCCAGTGTATGTCGAAGTTCCATTCGCGTTTGGACCCCCTTCCAGTCGATGCAAGCGGGACATCGTCGCGGACTGCTATGTCGGTAGCAGAACCTGTTGGATGGACTCGACAGCAGCACGCACTCAACACACCCGGGTGCGTACGTTTCGTTGCCGTAAAACGCGGATCGTTTGTTGAAACTGGAGACGGTGACTTTATCGACTCGATCACTAGCTGCAGGTTTCACGTCTCCGTTCCATTTACGGAAATCGCTGAAATCGCTGAGGTTGTCGGGGCGAATGTTTTTCTCAATTCCATGTTAAGAAGCTGCTGAGAGTCAACGGATCTGCGTCTTATCTTGTCGTTTGGGGGCCTTTTCGGGCTGTCGTTGAGCTGCAAACATTACGAAACTCGAAAGCAACGTGAGCGTACTTGCTGGCTTTATCTCGCCTCCTCAGCGTCACGTTGGTCCACCCTTGGTATCAAGTCAAGTACAGCGACCCTGAAAGACAGGGGGGAGCTGCTTGTCGAACCACTGAGCATCGAGCGCGAAAGCTTCAGCTGCTCATCTCCTAGTAAACGACCGATTCTCTCTTGAAGAGACCGATGATGAATACGGTTCTGACTTTGTTCACTTGCATTTTACTTCACTACAAAATATTCCTTCTGTCTCCCTCTAAACGAGTGGCTTGCCAACAGCTCCAATAGATGCCAGCGCCTTGACCTCCGTGGGCTGGCCGCCGTCGTCAAAGAATCCGTAGCCTTTGAAGGTCGACTGTACCGCCTTCTTCTTTGCGGCCGTACTGTGAGGGAATCGGATCTCCTCTTCGTACATGAGCAAGTCCTGCACACGCAGCAAATACGACTCGAGATTCTTGAGGTAGCGCTCAGTCTGGCGGTGTCGCGACGAAGCACAGAACTGGATGCCCTCGTCTTTAATGATGTAGCCGATGCCAAAGCCGTCCGGCACCACAGGGCCGAAACCAAACAACCTTAGACTGGGATTACCACAATTGCTCGTTGACAGCACCGAGTGGTTCAACTTACACCAGGCGTCGTCTGCGAATAACGCAGGAGTGGGTTTGCTGTTATCAGCGGCCTTCTCATGCTGCCACAGACATTCGAGAGCGTAGAGATGGCGTTCGGGACCTTTACCGCCAGCGCAGTCGCGCACATTGGCGACGTGAGTGGAGATGGCCTTGCGTAGTGATCCGATCTTCTCGAGTGGCGTCTTCTCCGAGAAAAAAGTCTCCACGAACTCGAGTGCGTCGGCTGTCATGGCACGCGCAGCCTCCGTGCGACCGTGTAAGAAGCGCTTGGTGAGAACAGGTTCGTAGATGCACGGTGCACTGCCATACTGGAAATAGTAGGCGGCCGCGAAGGCCATCTGCACGAAGGCGTCTGGGCTCATATTGTGCTGAGTGATGAACAGCTTACCGAACGCCGTAAATTCGAGCACTTTGACCTCATTTTGTAGCATTAGATCTGTGAGCTGAGCCTCGGCGAACTTGATCCCTTCCTGTAGTTCATGATCCAGCTCCCACTCGAGTTTGTGCGGCTGTACACGCGGACGTCCAGGCGTGTCGGATGGGCTCAATTGCGGCGCGCGATATGACGCCTCCAGGAAGGCGTAGTTACCAGCCCGGATCGTCTGTGCGAAGCGGATAATAGTGTCTGTGAACACGTCCGACACGAAGCGCAACACCGTGTGACCATCCACGAAGGCGTGCTCGAAGTTGCACCCGGCTACGCCGTTCTCGCACACGATGAGCTGCAGCTTGTCGTACCAGCGATTCATGCACGTGCCCGTCTGGACGCCGTCCTTGGTGATGCTGTACGTGCCGTGCAGTGCCGTGGCCGCAAATGCTGCGGCATCTGGAGGCGACGTGGTGTCCAGACACACGAGGAACAGCGCGCGGTCGATAACGGCTAGGGTGTCTTTGTTCTTGGCCTGCAGTTTGGTACGTAGGTTGGCCCATTTGGCCCGACGCTCCGTGGTCAGCACCCCCACGGCGTTTGACGCAGCTTCGACGTCGTCGGTCTTCAGTGCATCTTCGTTAATGGCCTTGAGGTTGGCCAGCAGTTCTCGCTCCGTGATGGCCGTAACACCGTCTTCCCAGATGACGTCAAACCAGTAAAACTGGTTGCGGCAGACTACCACAATGTGTTTCGACAGCTCGTCCACCATGACGTCGTCAGCACCGTCTGAGGGAACGCGCGCGCAGCCAAAAAGGCGCTTGTACTGATGCATACACAGCGCCATATTACCGCGCCACATGTCGGGCTCGAGTGTGCCTCGACGCAGAGCGTTGACGAACTTGAGTGCGCCCAACACGAGCGATGCAGCACGCGAAAGCTGGTTATTCCGCGAAGGTGTGGGGTCATCCTCCAATACGAAGAAGGGGTTGACATTGAGCACAACAGAGCTGCGGTGGTTCAGATAGGCCTCATACCAAAAGTCCTCGATATACGAGTGTTTGTCCTTGTCGTAGTCGAGCAACTGCTGGTGCAATCGCGGGCCGTCGCTGGCCAGGAATTCCTTGACACTGCGCTCCGTCTGGTGCTGCTCTTCAGGTGTTTGTAGAGCTTTCACAGACGCCAGGAAGCGCTGGCACGTGCCCTCCAGGTCGGGGATCGGCAGCTTGGGTAGTGACGTTTGATGGCGGAATGTGGTCGACTCTGCGTCTGTGGGCGGATGCCAGGCGGCGGTGGGGCAGGTACCGTTGTTCGCGCTCGAGTTCGCATTGTTGGCCACCATTGCTGGTGGATTGAGAGCTGGGCGCTTGGACGCAAATTGGAGAATGGTCTTTAGTCAAGACTCTTGACACCTTTCCTAATAAAGACGTTAAACGCTAAAATGGCTACGCTTTACTTCAAGTTGCGTTGCGTGGGATTGCTGTCCGCGACGGTTTTGAGAATGAATATGAAGTAAAACAGCAGAGGAACTGTTTTGTGCCTCTATAGATTAATATTCCTTGCAGTATCGTTCGTTTCATTCAACGATTTTAATGACACTTGCGTGTCAAAAGCGTGCCTGCCAGACAAATATCTCGAGTTCACCGTGAACGCAAAGTTACAGGTCTTTCGTTACTCTCAGTTCAACCACACGTCTCCAGCTTCAAACCGGGAGCCCCGAGCTCTCCCTCAGCCTGAGGCTCAGGGTCCCTGTGCCATTTACTGCGCGCAAACTTCAACTGCCAACTGCACGATCTGAACGAGGCCCTGTGAGTTGGAGCGCTGCTTATCGGTAAAGCTGTTCCATGAGTATTGGAGCTGGTTTGCCTTAGCGTAAATACTCGTCAGCGCGAGAATCATCAGCGTATTGGTCACAAGAACCACAGCACGGTCTCCAAAGGGTGTGACATCTGAGCTTTCGCGCGTTTGAAGCCTAGGGAACATGCCGACCAAGTGACTCCAACAACCGTCTGAACGAAACTCAGCGGAACTTGGACATCTAAAGGCTCCTTTATGCTGCGTACACTCTTTGCAAGCGGCCCAATGCGCTCGCCGATTAACTGTATCGTCCTTAGGGTATAATCCTGTTCGTTGTCTGAGATTTCATTCAAGTGGTGGCGACGCACGCAATTCTCGTTGATACTCTGAAGGCTGCACGCGAATAGCCTCCCCTAAAGCAGCAAGCGCCTTGATCACATGCTTCGCATAGTCCTGCACCACCAGCTCCATCGTCTTGACCGCCAAGAACGAAGTCTGTTCCAACACAGGGGCCATTTCTTGCCGCTGTAACGCTAATTTCGTCTCTAACTTCTCAAACTGGATCTGCTCCGGCGCATTTTCCTCTTGGTTCGAAGCAGTATTGCAGGAGTTTTCATTGTTGTCATTGTTGTAATACAAACTGCAGCCCGACGTTGCTGACGACACAACGAACTGGATCATTTGTCTCAACTTCATCCTTTGTTACACGCGCATCTAACTGCGCTCGAGCTCTCCTCTAACGACTTTGACAGCTCGTTTCTCATCCGTTCTTGGCGCTCTTTTGTAAACTTGAGCATACAAACGATATTCACTGTCAATAGGCCGTGGAATTCGATCAGCCCAGATAGTTGAGAGCTAATAAGCCCTCCGAAGGTTTTGCTTGAAGCACGGTCCAGTTTCTAAGCTTTCTGCAGCGACTTTGCCACTGTCACTGTCTGCTGAATAGGTCGCTCATCCAGTCCGTGATCGCCACGTGACAATCATATCCTTCCAGAAAGCTCTCCGGGAAATTGACACTGAAATTGCTAATTGAAGATGCGCTCGCTCTGAGTGCTTCCCGGTTTAATTTGCCTTGCAACTCATTGATGAGAGCTGTCATAGAAGTGATCATACGCTCGAACACGGCGCGAGTCTGATACAGCACACCACGTACGTGAGTGTCACAACGCCGGCCAGCGAAGTGGAACGCTGTGACGCACTGCTGATTCGCGAGCCGCTCAGCATCTCGCTTGCGAAGCAGCTGGTCCCGGTCACGATGCACGCACAACTCGCTTTCATTCGGAGCTTTAACGCGTGGGGCCTCGCTGTACAAACGACCTTCACGGAGCTTCAGGTATGCCAAATCAAAGGCTTCTTCTTTCTGCAGAAGCTCGTACAGCTCCGAGAGAAGATGCTGAACCTTCTTCATGTGTTCGGTACGAACGCTTCGAGAGGAGCGTATGACTTGTTTCGTCAGATCTTGAGCAACGGTAGCTTTGATCTCGGAGCATTTGTGAATTAAGTGGCCCAAGCCTTGGCTGACTCGTTGTAGCCGCTCTAGATCATCCAGTGCGCTGAATGGGAGTTCTGCGTACGTCTTACCGCACTGCTTTTCGGCCGATTGCAGCTCACGGACGACAGAAGCGACTGCTATTAGATGCTGGGCCTGCGCCTCCACATGTGCCTGCAGCGGGGTGAGCTCGTCCGATACCATAGCAGTGAGGGAGTGAGAACTGGCAAGTGAAAACTCGAGAGAACTAGCAACTAAGTGAGCGATTAGCTGGCAAAAGGGTGGACTCTACAACTTGCGGTTTGCCTTTGGATCGTCAATACACTTCACTTTGCAGCGAAACGGCCTCGATGAGCCACCCCATTTCTTATCCCTTTCAACTTGGGCTAAGCGCGCGACGCCTCTTGTCCAACTATTTAGTGTAGTGGGCAGTGACAGCCAGAAACAGCCAGCGACCTAAACAACAGCCTTCCAGGTCCCAATTACGTGGTCGATGATGTCCTGAACGCCTTTGCCCTGGTTAATCTGCGAGAACACAGTGGGGCCCTCCCCACGCATGAGCTTCGCGTCGCGGTCCATGACGTCCAGATCCGCGCCGACGTGTGGGGCCAAGTCAATCTTGTTAACGACTAGCAGATCCGCCTGTGTGATGCCCGGGCCGCCCTTGCGAGGAACCTTATCGCCACCAGCCACATCGATGACGTAGATGATGTAGTCGGCCAGCTCACGGCTGAAGTTGGCGGCCAAATTGTCTGTCGGATCCACACAACGAAGCACAATTGTTAGTATTTGAGAGGTATAGTCGTAGCTGTCAGCTCGCCCACCTCCTCCAGACTCCACTAGCAGCAGTTGCGTATCGAATTCGTCCGTCAGGTCCTCGCACGCCTGTAGGTTGGCCGAGATGTCCTCTCGGATGGCCGCATGCGGACACCCGCCCGTCTCAATTGCGCGGATACGTTCTTCGGGCAGCGCGTCGTGGCGCACAAGAAACTCGCCGTCCTCACGTGTGAAGATGTCATTTGTCACAGCGGCTAGGCTGAATTTTTCTTTAAGCGCGTGACAAAGCGCCAGCATAAGCGCCGTCTTGCCGCTACCCACAGGGCCACCGATGCCAACGGTAAAGGCCCGCTGCGCCCAGTCCCGGCCAGACTTGGCCGCGTCTCGCTGGTGGAAGAACCCGACATGATCCATGTGCTCGTGCGTGTGCCCATGTTCGCGCAGCTGCTTCTCTTCGTCAGGCGTTGGTGCCCGGCCGCGGTTCTGAGTGAAGCGCCGAACCAGTTCGTCTCCGTTGATCATGTGGTCAGCCCCATGTTCGTGCGAATGGCTATGATCGTGAGAGTGGCCGTGGTCATGCGAGTGAGAGTGATCATGCAAATGCGAATGTTCCATGGCTTATTGTCGTCCTGCGTGGTCCAAAGTAGATCGTGAAGTGAGCTACTGTACCGTTACATGTATTCGACGTATCTGCGTATTCGACATATCTGTGCGAGTCATCACTCCATTGACCAATCACAATCCAGATCACTTCAACAGTTGATGTACATGTAATTAAAAAAATGCCGTAATTTGGGTTGTAAGAATTCGGTACAGAAAGATTTTAACCCCTCCAAACCGGATGCTGCATAATGCAGTTTAGATTTGAAGGCTTAAACTGAATATATGCAGTTTAAGCAAATTTAATCTTAAAGTTTGTATTGGCGCCCTTTCCCCCGACACATCGGTATACAAACCGCAAGTCAACATATTGTGGCGTTTCTGTTCACGCGTTTCTTTTTCCACCGCGGGGAGTGACCGCCATTTATCAAAATTTGTAAAATGCAATTTGAGAGGTTTTGGGAAATTGCAACTGATTTGCATCACTTTGCAGAGACAACGGGCAGGATGCCGGTGCACGAGTGGCTATCAGAGACCGTAGCCCCGCCTTTTCAAAATCTCTCTCATTTGAAAATTTGCGGACCCAGAGCGCAAGTCGACCCAGAGAAAATGGTGAGAGCCGCTGGCAGGGTTCTGCGTGACTTTGAAGTCACTGGACGCGACTTATCGTTTAAATCGGTGTGGAAGGAGCTGAAAAAAGATGGGTGGACGCGCAAGCCACCCCCGCGACGCAGTTTAGACGGCCGTTATTTCTACATTCGGCCTGGTGAAACCACAACTGGGACTGAAGGTGTCCATTTTTTTCGAGGCGAGGAGGCTGTGCTTGAATACTACGCTAACGGTATGTACTGCTTCTTTTAATCATTTTGATGTAAACTAATTATGTTGAATGACTACAGTGCTGCGCTCTCATGCTCCTCTACCGAGTGCTACTCCGCATATGGCACCTGGAGATGCCCAACTGGCGGCAGCTGCTGAAGTCGTACGCCAAACGTACGCTGCTGATATCCTGGGCGCGGAAGCTCGAGCTCAATCTACTGCAGCCCCCTTACCAGCAATGCAATCTCCTGCAGTAACCCAAACACGTGCTGCAGCAATTCAAGCTGATGCTGCAACAACCCAAGCTGATACTGCAACAACTCAAGCTCCTGCTACAACGACGGTGTGTACTGATGAAGCTCCTACTCCAACAACTCCATCAGCGCCTACTCCAACTATTCGCAAACCAAAAGGTAAGCGTCCAGCAAGGCGGTCTCTTATTTGCAGCGCAAGTCCAATGGCTATTACGCCACCTCGATCGATACGAGCTATTGTTCAGCCGCTAATAGTAACGTCACCTCATGTACAAGACTCGGACACAACATCGCCTTATGACGACACACAAATTCCCGACAATGAGTCTGTCGAATCAGCGTACTTTCCTAGCGAACCGGAGCAAGGTATGTTGTATTGTGTGGTGCATAATGTACTGCATATTGGACATCTATATGCTGCATATTGTACTGCATGTTCAGCTGCCTATTGTCTTGCCTATTCTGATGCATACGAAACTGCATATCGAGCTGAATACTAAGCTGTATTGATTTTTTCTTGTATTAGATGATGATTGCGAAAATGCAGAGATGGTTGCCCGGGGAAATAAGTTGCTAGCCGATACCACGGACGACTTGAATGTGGTGAAGGATAGCGAGGCCAATGTTACATATGGAGCTATTGAGTCCGGGGACGAAGCCGAAAAGGACGATGTTGAGACTGGAGAATATGACTCAGATGGAGATGTGGATGGAATGGTGGCTCCTGATGATCTAAGCGATGATCCAGACGAAACTGACGCAGAGATTGCCGCAGAAGTTCTATTTGGAGAGCAATTTTTGGAAACATTTGGTGGTGAAGATGAAGTACTTGCTGGAAATCTGAAAAAGGAAGTACTGAAGGAAATGTCAGTGTCTGGGTGGGAAGACGTGGAGGAGCCTGACATCTACGAGCATTTGATGGCTCCGTACGAACCTGTGAACGACACCGGCAATTACCCAGGACTCAGTCAAGGATACTCTGGGCCATCTGCTGAGGCTCTTCGTCATGGAGATTCCCCGTTGGCGCTGTTTTTATTTATGATGCCAGTCGTGCTGTGGCAGCACATCGCTTCCTGCTGTAATGAGTACCATCGTGAAATGTTACCTCAACGGATTGATGCGTCGTATAGTAGATACCGCAAGAAGTTCGAAAGAGACCCAGACCTACCTCGGAAGACTCAGCGTGATATCCAGCACGAAATGGAGGCCATGAAGCCAATAATGCCGCATGAACTGTGTCGGTTTTTCGGGTTACTAGTGGCAAGAACGATTGCACCCAACCGTGAGAAGCTAACAAATCACTGGAAGACGGCAGATGTTGGCGCAATATCTCGTGGGTGTTTCGGCTCTGTTCTTTCGCGAGACAGATTTATGGAGATCTCTCGAAACCTCCATTTCAATTCCAATAGGGACCCCCGAGCGCTGACTGATCGCGCATGGAAGATCAGAAAAGTTGTGGAGGTGCTGCAGAAGACGTTTTTGCGGGGTTACGTGTGCCCTCCTCACCTAGCGTTTGATGAAGCTGTATTGCCAAGCCGATCGTCGTTCAACAAGATGCGTGTCTACATGAAAGACAAGCCCCACAAGTGGGGCACAAAGCTTTTTATGTTGTGCAGTGCGGTTACGGCTTACTGCATTCGGTAAGTTTTTTTTGGCTGTAAAGACTTTTAAAACTGAATTATGCATCTTGTACTGAATTTTTTTTATGATGCATATCGACCGTTTTGAAGTCTATTGTGGCAAGAAACAGCATCTCAGCGATGCTCATAAGCCGGATATGAAGTCGGGTCCAGCAGCAGTAGTGCGTAACTTGCTGGAAGTGTTTGGTCCTGACGCCAAAAAGCAAGGGATGAGGCTCGTGGTGATTGACCGTTTCTACACGTCTGTGGCATTGGCTATACAGCTTCTGCTTATGGGTTTCTATTGCGTTGGTACTATCATGACGAATCGTCTTGGCTACTGTAAGAAAGTGATTGAGAAAAAGAAAACCCGTCCAGCGACAATTCCACGGGGGTCGTTTAAAATCGCGCGCTCAAAGCTCGTTCCGAGTATGAAGGCAATTAGTTGGTGGGACGCAAGACCGGTACATTTCCTGTGTACTGGTGGCAGCCCTGAAATCGATAGGGTGGTGCGGCAAGATAGAGCTGAGCAAGTTGAGGTGCCCTGCCCTCGAGTCGTGAAGGACTACCACGCATTCATGGGTGGCGTGGATGTCCACGACCAGTTGCGGCTGCAGCGCTACTCGCTGCAGCGTGCACTCCGTTTCAAGAAGTATTATAAGTCGCTAGTGATGGGGTTGATTGATATGGCAATCGTTAACGGCTATATCATACACAAAGCCTACCACAAGAACAAAGAGTCGCGCCCGCTCACACACGTCAAGTACATGATTAAACATCACCTCCAGCTTAGCCAGCTCCAACCTACGGACATGTATGAAGGGAACACATTCGGCACGCAGCTTCCTTCTTCTTTACAAAGCTATGACCCGCTTCCTATCGGCATCTCCCAGTCAATCGAGCACATGGCTCTCCAAAGTGATGAATGGCGGAACGAAGGTACGCAGGCCAAACGTCGCCAGCGCGCGTGTAAAGTGTGCTCCGTTCTACGACGTGAAAACAAGCGCGCATCCACCACGACGTACTTCTGCAAGGACTGTAACAAGGCGGGGCCAATTTTCCTCTGCATGCGAGCTCGACGGAATGTACGTGGGGCCGCCATGACCTGCTGGGACATCTGGCACAAGGAGTGGGGAAATGGCAAGCTGATCCCGGTAAGCAAAGGCAAGTCTATTCGAGTGCGTCGAAAGAAGACTGGTTCAGGCACTCCTTCGACGCCTGGTACTCCGGATTCAAGCAAGAGACGTCGCACCACCCCGTAAGCCTTAAGCTGCGCATTAGGCTGTCTATATTGCTGCATATATGCAGGGTAGTGAGCTAAAAATTGTGGTACTTGAATACCTTTCTGCATTGTGTCTTGAAGTTGCGCGCGTCGTGCCGAGTACATGATACACCTTGCATGTTGTCTGCATCGTAGTGGGCCGCTTTTGTACAAGTATTTAGCGTGTCAATGGATTACAACACCAGATGATTTGTCGACTGATCGACTCACTACATTTTTGTATAGTGCATAGAATACAACCGGACAAGTCAAAGGTTTGCAAGAACCATTAGGGGTGACATCCCAACTTCTCATATATGGTTTTGTATGGGAGGTATTACACTCTAAATATCTGAAAAATATCAACGGCAATGTGCTGGTTCTGTTCCGAGGGCGCCCCGTCACTATCTAAATTACGTAGGAGAATGCGGTATGGCAAGTCTAATCAGCTCGCTATATGTAGTTTATATGATACATTAGCACGCATTTGCAACTGCACATCCTGAATCCTAGCAGTCCTAACCACCTTTATATACAAACATTAAGTTTAATTACGCTGCATATGCAGTTTACATGTTCCTTCCAGCTCCCGGTTTGGAGGGGTTAAGAAACGATTATTGACTTATTGTAGATCACTCACTTTAAAAACCCCATTCAGAAAGCAACTCAGAAATGCGCTGGTCCCCAGGAGTAATCTTGGTTCGCAGCCATGCCGAGGCTCTCGAATTTTGAGCGACTGTGCCGCGAAGTGATTGTCTTACTTGTAATTCCCGAGGCTGCACCGATAGGGCTTTAGCGTACAACTCCGTGTCAATACATACGAGGACGACGAATACGACCTGATACTAGAGCTTCTTCACACTGTGGAAACATCGCGCTACACAATCCCCCGCACTGCTCAGCGATTTCGAAACCCGCCGGTGCCATACTACCTCTACGAGCTCTCATCGTCCAAGTTTCTTACAAATTTTCGTGTGTTTCGCCCTTAATTTTTCGCCATAACCGAATTGCTACGGGACTCGTCTGCATTTGCCAGTCATGATTTTTTTTGCCAGAAGCACCTGTAGAAGTTCATTTGCTGGTACAATGAAGTA